GCATTTTTTGTCGTTGACTTATTGTCTCACCCATGGTGTTTGATGCCTGAAAGATTGGGGGCATTCGGCATTGGACGAGGATCATAGCAAATTTTGAGAAGTCATCATGCCGCTGGATAATTGTATTTGAAGCATTCTGTGTAGTTCAATGAATAACCTCCTGGTTATAAATTCTCCTGCCTTGCATCGTGTTTTGTGCAAAACAAATTACCTTGTATAATAATAATTTCATTATTTCCTATTCGTTTCTTGATAGATAGATGAGCTTGGTAGAATGGAATTAAGATTTTGTATCCGAAATTGTAGACAATATTTTGACAATTTGAATTGATCTTCCTCCAATTTCATTTCCAATCTCATTCAGATATGCTGTTGAATCTAACTAACAGGAACACTGCGAGGGCGTTGACTATTATGAGGAGGATGGTAACAGACCAGTTCACTAGTTTTACAAGTTTGGTGTACTAAAGTAGAATTGCTTTCAATTATGAGGAAATGGAATACTAATAAATGGCACCAGAGATTCTTAATTGCAGCAGCCTCTCCTATAGTTTTGAGCCTCTTGTACAATTTTTAATATTCAGTTTTCAGTATTATCAAACACCATCTTAATCAAAAATTTAATTCAATACAATTATTGGATTACTAGAATTTTAGTGTTAGATGGAGATTACCTTTAATCCAATGGGTATATTATATTAGATTTTCAAATTAAGTGTAAATAACATTTTCCTATTTAATGATGTGAAAAATCATGAAGAGATGTTGAACTCGCCATTTAATAGGCTTCAAAATAAAAAAAAAAAAAAAAAAAAAGAAAAAAGAAAAGACAAGTCTAGACTGGGATCAAAATTGGTAAACAAATGATGTATCATTTGTATGATTTTGTTCCTACTTGTACTTTCATTCATTTAAAATTTAAATTATCGATATTTGTTTTTTCTATTTTTGGTGAGTCTAATATTGCATCGCAAAAACATTAATGGGCTTATGCATCAGATCAAACATAATCACTAACTTAAAACTACAAGAAAATATTGCAAATCCGAAAAATAAAACTTGTACAAAGCTAGGCTTGCCTCGCCTTGGCACAAAGGCTATAATAGAAGGCACATAAATGAACAACCAAAAGATCAGGGGGTGTTTGAACAATTTGACGTGGCATTGATTTTTGGATTCCGTCGAGATATTCGGATACCCCTAGCCTACCTACTCCCTAGCGAAGAAGAGCGCAGAAGAGAATGCTTAATATATGAATTCCCACGAGAGTTGTAAAGCTAACGACGAGCGAACCAACGAACCTTCCCCACAGTTATTTCGGAAAATTTCATGTCCATCTTGCCCTCGCAGAATCTAGCTTCAACGTCGTCTTCTTCGTCTCAGGTCGCCTCTCAACACCATAGTTCAGATCATGGATTCGTCTTCCTCCAATCCCAACCAGAACTCTCTTTTCCCACCAAACTCAGACCTTTGGATCTCTTCGAATCTCCGTCTCCGTCACGACGTCCGACAATATCTCAGGTAGGATTTCTATTCTGTATGTTCCCTAAGATTTGCAAATAGTGAGTCGGTTTGTTTAGTGAAACGAGAAACCCTAGATTTTTTGACGGAAGTATTTGTAATTTGTTGGGAGCAGTATTTGGAACTTTTATTTCTTTAGTTTTCTTGTCCGTTAGGCGACTAAATCTGCGATTGCAGAGTGAAATTAGTGGTTGAGATTCGCAACTGTAAGATGGCTTTGGTTGGTAAATGAAGAACTCTAGTTGAAGCTTGAAAGCTCTTTTTGTATTTATTTCCTTTTTGATTTGATCGTTATGAGTTTGTGTGAGGGGATATGATCTGCATATTGGTGCTTGAAATACTTAGTTATTGTATCGTGAATCCTTCCAGGAACAATGGCTCAGGCTACAGATGATTCTGTTGGATCTTCCAAAGAGGTATTATTTGCTGACCTCTTCTATGTCAATGAATGCAGTTTTTCTTTTTCTTTTCACAATACCCATTATTGATTGAATTGGACAAGTTGCTGTTGGACTGTGACATTTTTGTTCTTTGTAGACTAAGTATGATGCCTTTTTTCATAACTCTAGGTGAATGAATCAGGGAGACAAAATGGCAAGGAAAGTTTGACTCACCCAAACGGTGGTACAAATTCTCTCTGTGAGGATGTTGGTCATGCTGGGGCTGCATCTGCTCAACACAGAAGGAAATCGGGCAGGACCATTGCTCTTCCACGTGGTCAACTGACTGCTGGGTCTACCAGTTATAAAGGGAGCACTGCACCTGTTGCAGGAAAAAAAACCAGATGGTTAATGGTAACCACTTACTGAACTTTAATTATGATCCTATTTCTCGTCCACAGCCAAGGGCACCTCCTCCAAGAAGACAGCTGAAGAGAAAGCCTTACAACAAAGATTTGTTCCTTCAAGCAAATTACAAATTTGTTGTTTTAGATTCAGGAGACTATGCTCCTGAGTTGATGGATCCGGATAAAATGTTACAGTGGGAGGATATCATATGTGTGAAGTATTCCACTCCATTTGCTGTACAATGTCCAATATGTCTAGAATCTCCGCTGTGTCCCCAGATTACATCTTGTGGTCATATTTTGTTTCCCATGCATTCTGCGGTACTTTCTGATGGATAAAGATAATCATAAAGATGAATGCTGGAAGAAGTGCCCTTTATGTTTCATGATGATATCATCAAAGGATTGTACACCATTTACGTCGTCGAGAATGTTAGGCAGCACTGTGTGGGTGATCCTGTAGAGTTTATGCTTCTAACCCGTCAAAAAGATTCATTCACATTGTCTCTGAAAAATAACCAAAGGATAGATGCAAATGAGGAAGTCCATGATTCGTTTTCCAAGTTCACTTTTACATCAGATGTGGACTTGTCAGTTAGGGAAGCAATGTCAGATCTTGATAGTTGGTTAGCCAGAGCAGATTCAGGGCTTGTTGATGACCTGGAGAAACTGCCATATATCTGTGTTGCGATGGAGCACCTGGAACAGAGGAAGAAGTATTGGAATGAGCACCAGATTGCTAGCGGCAATAAGGCTAGTAAATATAGTGATTGTCATACAAGTTCTTATGGATCTCCACCAACTGCAAATGCTATTAATACTGATCAAGGAGCATGTGAGTTTGTATGGGGAAGTCTATCTACTAGTGCTGATGATAAATCAAAGTGGTTGGAAAGCCCAGCTCCAGCTAAGAGAGATGGAGAGCCTTCTTTGGATCTAACTGCTGATGTGGTTGAATCCTTGGAAGACCAAGGTGGATCTATATCGGCTTCATATTCTGGTATGAAGAGTATGAAGAGACACTCTAATGGCTCTTGGCATAGGAAGGACAAAGACTCATACGACTTCTACCAGGTGATTTGCTACAAGTTATCTATATTTTTTCATGATTTAGGTACAGAGACGGAATCTTACACATCCAGGAACTATCATTCAACTGTGGCATTCAAAAAATTAACATTCTATTTAAATTAAAAGTTAGGCTCTATTTTTTTTTGATGATACATGCAAATTTTGAACATACTTTACCTAACATCATATTGCAGTCCCAAGAGCCAAGAAAACCAACAAGCCCAAGTCCAAGCACGACCTTCAGACTGACTTAGGCTCTATTGCTATGTATATGGAATGCACTAATATTTTTGAATGATAGTATTTTTGACTGACAAATTAGATGCATATGTATGCTAGTCTTTATAAATATGTGTGCTTGATGCATGAAGGTATGGTTAGTTGTTGGTCATAAGTAAAATCGAAACAATTCAGTCATGAATCAGAAAGTATTTAATTTATTAGTCTGGGCAAACAAGAGGATTTGACAACTGCTGAGCTCTGTGAAAATTGTCAAATTAAGGAGTCTCGCTGTATGTGGCTTTATCAACATTTTGTCGAAGGCAGAAATATCGCTGGATAAGGAGTATCAGTGGCTGGCATCCATTATGACATGTTAACTATCATATTTTATTGTGTTGCCCTAAGAAGTACAGTTGAAAGTATGGATGCGATAAACTGGACACGGACATGCCAACGTGACAAATATAAAAAAAATTAGGATGCTGATAGTTAATACCATAGACCAATTATCACTTCATGAGTTAATAGTATTTATCTTCTTTAACATGAAATCTTTAATTGCAATTGTGAACAACTGACCATATGGTATAGATAGAGGCCAATGAGCATCCACAATTGAAATGATCCTTTCTTCCGGCATAGCCCTCTGCCCCTTTTGGTAAAATCTTTATGTATCTTCCTTTTGCTTTAGATGGAGAAAAAACAAAGTATCATGTTTTTTATGCACCTCTGTTGTTTGTGTGCTACAAGAATTGTGACACCTGACTTCTAAAATGGTAACAATACATCGTGGTCAAGAAGGGTGGGGGGGGGGGGGGGGGGGGGGGGGGGGGGGGGGGGGGGGGGGGGGGGGGGGGGGGGGGGGGGGGGGGGGGGGGGGGGGGGGGGGGGGGGGGGGGGGGGGGGGGGGGGGGGGGGGGGGGGGGGGGTGGGGGGGGGGGGGGGGGGGGGGGGGGGGGGGGGGGGGGGGGGGGGGTGGGGGGGGGGGGGGGGGGGGGGGGGGGGGGGGGGTGGGGGGGGGGGGGGGGGGGGGGGGGGGGGGGGGGGGGGGGGGGGGGGGGGGGGGGTGGGGGGGGGGGGGGGGGGGGGGGGGGGGGGGGGGGGGGGGGGGGGGGGGTGGGGGGGGGGGGGGGGGGGGGGGGGGGGGGGGGGGGGGTGGGGGGGGGGGTGGGGGGGGGGGGGGGGGGGGGGGGGGGGGGGGGGGGGGGGGGGGGGGGGGGGGGGGGGGGGTTGGGGGGGGGGGGGTGGGGGGGGGGGTGGGGGGGGGGGGGGGGGGGGGGGGGGGGGGGGGGGTGGGGGGGGGGGGGGGGGGGGGGGGGGGGGGGGGGGGGGGGGGGGGGGGGGGTGGGGGGGGGGGGGGGGGGGGGGGGGGGGGGGGGGGGGGGGGGGGGGGGGGGGGGGGGGGGGGGGTGGGGGGGGGGGGGGGGGGGGGGGGGGGGGGGGGGGGGGGGGGGGGGGGGGGGGGGGGGGGGGGGGGGGGGGGGGGGGGGGGGGGGGGGGGGGGGGGGGGGGGGGGGGGGGGGGGGGGGGGGGGGGGGGGGGGGGGGGGGGGGGGGGGGGGGGGGGGGGGGGGGGGGGGGGGGGGGGGGGGGGGGGGGGGGGGGGGGGGGGGGGGGGGGGGGGGGGGGGGGGGGGGGGGGGGGGGGGGGGGGGGGGGGGGGGGGGGGGGGGGGGGGGGGGGGGGGGGGGGGGGGGGGGGGGGGGGGGGGGGGGGGGGGGGGGGGGGGGGGGGGGGGGGGGGGGGGGGGGGGGGGGGGGGGGGGGGGGGGGGGGGGGGGGGGGGGGGGGGGGGGGGGGGGGGGGGGGGGGGGGGGGGGGGGGGGGGGGGGGGGGGGGGGGGGGGGGGGGGGGGGGGGGGGGGGGGGGGGGGGGGGGGGGGGGGGGGGGGGGGGGGGGGGGGGGGGGGGGGGGGGGGGGGGGGGGGGGGGGGGGGGGGGGGGGGGGGGGGGGGGGGGGGGGGGGGGGGGGGGGGGGGGGGGGGGGGGGGGGGGGGGGGGGGGGGGGGGGGGGGGGGGGGGGGGGGGGGGGGGGGGGGGGGGGGGGGGGGGGGGGGGGGGGGGGGGGGGGGGGGGGGGGGGGGGGGGGGGGGGGGGGGGGGGGGGGGGGGGGGGGGGGGGGGGGGGGGGGGGGGGGGGGGGGGGGGGGGGGGGGGGGGGGGGGGGGGGGGGGGGGGGGGGGGGGGGGGGGGGGGGGGGGGGGGGGGGGGGGGGGGGGGGGGGGGGGGGGGGGGGGGGGGGGGGGGGGGGGGGGGGGGGGGGGGGGGGGGGGGGGGGGGGGGGGGGGGGGGGGGGGGGGGGGGGGGGGGGGGGGGGGGGGGGGGGGGGGGGGGGGGGGGGGGGGGGGGGGGGGGGGGGGGGGGGGGGGGGGGGGGGGGGGGGGGGGGGGGGGGGGGGGGGGGGGGGGGGGGGGGGGGGGGGGGGGGGGGGGGGGGGGGGGGGGGGGGGGGGGGGGGGGGGGGGGGGGGGGGGGGGGGGGGGGGGGGGGGGGGGGGGGGGGGGGGGGGGGGGGGGGGGGGGGGGGGGGGGGGGGGGGGGGGGGGGGGGGGGGGGGGGGGGGGGGGGGGGGGGGGGGGGGGGGGGGGGGGGGGGGGGGGGGGGGGGGGGGGGGGGGGGGGGGGGGGGGGGGGGGGGGGGGGGGGGGGGGGGGGGGGGGGGGGGGGGGGGGGGGGGGGGGGGGGGGGGGGGGGGGGGGGGGGGGGGGGGGGGGGGGGGGGGGGGGGGGGGGGGGGGGGGGGGGGGGGGGGGGGGGGGGGGGGGGGGGGGGGGGGGGGGGGGGGGGGGGGGGGGGGGGGGGGGGGGGGGGGGGGGGGGGGGGGGGGGGGGGGGGGGGGGGGGGGGGGGGGGGGGGGGGGGGGGGGGGGGGGGGGGGGGGGGGGGGGGGGGGGGGGGGGGGGGGGGGGGGGGGGGGGGGGGGGGGGGGGGGGGGGGGGGGGGGGGGGGGGGGGGGGGGGGGGGGGGGGGGGGGGGGGGGGGGGGGGGGGGGGGGGGGGGGGGGGGGGGGGGGGGGGGGGGGGGGGGGGGGGGGGGGGGGGGGGGGGGGGGGGGGGGGGGGGGGGGGGGGGGGGGGGGGGGGGGGGGGGGGGGGGGGGGGGGGGGGGGGGGGGGGGGGGGGGGGGGGGGGGGGGGGGGGGGGGGGGGGGGGGGGGGGGGGGGGGGGGGGGGGGGGGGGGGGGGGGGGGGGGGGGGGGGGGGGGGGGGGGGGGGGGGGGGGGGGGGGGGGGGGGGGGGGGGGGGGGGGGGGGGGGGGGGGGGGGGGGGGGGGGGGGGGGGGGGGGGGGGGGGGGGGGGGGGGGGGGGGGGGGGGGGGGGGGGGGGGGGGGGGGGGGGGGGGGGGGGGGGGGGGGGGGGGGGGGGGGGGGGGGGGGGGGGGGGGGGGGGGGGGGGGGGGGGGGGGGGGGGGGGGGGGGGGGGGGGGGGGGGGGGGGGGGGGGGGGGGGGGGGGGGGGGGGGGGGGGGGGGGGGGGGGGGGGGGGGGGGGGGGGGGGGGGGGGGGGGGGGGGGGGGGGGGGGGGGGGGGGGGGGGGGGGGGGGGGGGGGGGGGGGGGGGGGGGGGGGGGGGGGGGGGGGGGGGGGGGGGGGGGGGGGGGGGGGGGGGGGGGGGGGGGGGGGGGGGGGGGGGGGGGGGGGGGGGGGGGGGGGGGGGGGGGGGGGGGGGGGGGGGGGGGGGGGGGGGGGGGGGGGGGGGGGGGGGGGGGGGGGGGGGGGGGGGGGGGGGGGGGGGGGGGGGGGGGGGGGGGGGGGGGGGGGGGGGGGGGGGGGGGGGGGGGGGGGGGGGGGGGGGGGGGGGGGGGGGGGGGGGGGGGGGGGGGGGGGGGGGGGGGGGGGGGGGGGGGGGGGGGGGGGGGGGGGGGGGGGGGGGGGGGGGGGGGGGGGGGGGGGGGGGGGGGGGGGGGGGGGGGGGGGGGGGGGGGGGGGGGGGGGGGGGGGGGGGGGGGGGGGGGGGGGGGGGGGGGGGGGGGGGGGGGGGGGGGGGGGGGGGGGGGGGGGGGGGGGGGGGGGGGGGGGGGGGGGGGGGGGGGGGGGGGGGGGGGGGGGGGGGGGGGGGGGGGGGGGGGGGGGGGGGGGGGGGGGGGGGGGGGGGGGGGGGGGGGGGGGGGGGGGGGGGGGGGGGGGGGGGGGGGGGGGGGGGGGGGGGGGGGGGGGGGGGGGGGGGGGGGGGGGGGGGGGGGGGGGGGGGGGGGGGGGGGGGGGGGGGGGGGGGGGGGGGGGGGGGGGGGGGGGGGGGGGGGGGGGGGGGGGGGGGGGGGGGGGGGGGGGGGGGGGGGGGGGGGGGGGGGGGGGGGGGGGGGGGGGGGGGGGGGGGGGGGGGGGGGGGGGGGGGGGGGGGGGGGGGGGGGGGGGGGGGGGGGGGGGGGGGGGGGGGGGGGGGGGGGGGGGGGGGGGGGGGGGGGGGGGGGGGGGGGGGGGGGGGGGGGGGGGGGGGGGGGGGGGGGGGGGGGGGGGGGGGGGGGGGGGGGGGGGGGGGGGGGGGGGGGGGGGGGGGGGGGGGGGGGGGGGGGGGGGGGGGGGGGGGGGGGGGGGGGGGGGGGGGGGGGGGGGGGGGGGGGGGGGGGGGGGGGGGGGGGGGGGGGGGGGGGGGGGGGGGGGGGGGGGGGGGGGGGGGGGGGGGGGGGGGGGGGGGGGGGGGGGGGGGGGGGGGGGGGGGGGGGGGGGGGGGGGGGGGGGGGGGGGGGGGGGGGGGGGGGGGGGGGGGGGGGGGGGGGGGGGGGGGGGGGGGGGGGGGGGGGGGGGGGGGGGGGGGGGGGGGGGGGGGGGGGGGGGGGGGGGGGGGGGGGGGGGGGG